GCCACACACAATTATCAAACTTCGCACTTACGACTCTCTATGCAGGCAGGCTCCCACTTGTCGTGATAAGCGCACGCGCATAAACTGTTCGTGAAAATCTCAACGTAGATTATGTCTACAAGCTAGAACACTCTCAAAAGTCAGCGTCAGTTATCATTCTTTAATCAGTCGCCACTCCTGGGGCCAGAACTTCAGGCGACCATGACACTAGCCACTCTACCCATCTTTGACAACTATCTGCTTCCATTCAGTGCGTGATAACTTGATTCACCAAATGAAAAAAATATATATATTTAAGTACATTTTAATCTGCACAAAACTCTTGGAAGATAAGACGTATTCCTAAACTCGTGATTCGATTTGGATCTCGATGTCCATCACATGACCTAACCAACGCCACTTACAAACTCACCAGTCGTGATTGCCTACACACGAATCGGAGTTGTGTGAAAAATGTCTAGCAGGCGTACAAACTGCTTTGTTTGGTATACCTTTACCCTATTTTTGCATTATGGTTAAGGACAACTGAATTTTGTTACGATTTTCTCATGATAGGAAATAAGCATCGAATGCTGTTTTTGCTAGATAGGCATCTAAAAACGCCGCGCTTTGAGTGGACACCCGCATACTCTAGGGAGCGTCAAATTTAGTCATGAATATTCCGCGAAATTCCTGCATAAACTTCTGACATGCCTTTAAGGTGAAGTAATGCAAGCTGACAAGGTGGAAATTGAAATCGGCATGAACTTCGAAGAGGTGAAATTTTGGTCAACCTATTTTAAAATAACATCCAAGGTGGAATAATTATAAGGCAGTGGCGATGCTGCCTTACCCAACTGCGAACGGCCTAAACAGAAATCAAAAGTGATTGTTGGCGTTTTTCAGGCATAAGACTTGGAAAGTAACTCGATCATAACCCCGTGTGTCCCAACTTATCTGATTTAAGAAACACTAGGTCCTATAACGCTCACCATTGTTGTGTCAGCGTGTATTGATTTTGCTTCGCCAATTAACTCAAACTAGATAATAACACAGGACTGGTAAACTAAAATTCTTGAACTAAAAGCGGGTCGAAATAACTAAGGCTTTCTTTTTTGCAGACTTAACTTTCCATACCGAAAAACGGAAGGCAAGAGTGGAGAAGCAGGTGAAGTTCCCCTTTCGGACATCCTAGAACTTACCGGGGCTTTTCTGATTGGGTTAGCCTCCGTCTAATGCAAGTTGATTAGTTCATGAATTCCAGCCCCACCACTGCTCCACGCCAGTGTACAAAATAAGTACCCATTTCCGTCACTGCGCACTGCTAACGACCGCGGTACAGCATGGACCGAAATTCATGAATAAGTTCTAAATCCAAACCCAATAAACTCCCCCATACCCTAAAACTGACCCCCAAATGTGGTAAACAAGGAAATGCAGAAATAATAACGAGTCTCTAATATCCCCAAAGGAAACCAATTGAACCAATTGCAGTCATATGGTGCCACCAATCACTTTGTTTGCCACGAAAATCCTTACACATATTTAATAATCAAGCATGTTTCCATGTCCGTCTGTTAACTGCCGTGGTCAAGTGGGAATTCTTGAAATTAGACGTCTACTGCCTTAGAAATAATGAAGGAGGAAAGTTTACTTTTCCAAAACATGGCCATAAAGGAGGGCATTGTATTTTAGCGACGGGTTACAGCAAACGCCATGATTCTGATTGCAACTAAGGATGGAGGGCGAGTTAACTCACACCCCGATTCGATAAATGATTTAATCTAAAGCAAAAATGGCCTTCGGAAATGTTCAGGCAACTGCTATACGGCATTAGGACCGAGAAATACCCTTACGGACAGACTGCACTGCAGCCCACGTCACAGAAGGTGAAGAGGCTAATTTACCATTGCCGTCTTTGAGCCTTTCAGTACCAATTGGAATCTGAGAATGACCTCATGACACAGAAGAGTGGTCACCCAGGTGGGGAGGGTGCCATTTCTGCCACACTGCAACTCCAAGTCAGAGATCAAACACACCCTAAGAATCACGTGGCCCCGGGAGGGGGCCGAACAAACACAACACCATCAATTGAAACCCATGATTTAAGGCTGCCTCGAATTCCTGCTTAGTCCCCGTCCAGAACCCGCCCTGCTAGTTCTTTTGGTTGCCCATCATAATTGAATTTAACACGCTCAAAACTTGAAGTGAAAATCCGCGACTTGGGTAAATGTGTACGAAGCACCAATACGCCCACTGCTGCAGCGAAGTGCAAACATAAATTTACTGTTTACATGAAATTCAAATCACAGACTTCGCATTCCGCACCGTCAAGTTAACATCAGTAACGAAAGTAATTGAGAAAAAGGCTATGCTTTCGCAGCGTCGTTTGATTGTCACAAATGCAGGATGAAGTCGGAATATGCCCTAATGAACCTTTGTGTGGACAAACCAAGCGGTTTCAACTAAAAAGTCCGGTAGCGACGCTACTTATCAATTCACTCAGGAACCAGCCAATCACAGTGAGCCCTGGGGCTGATCAAAGTTTGCCTCATCTCACATGCAATTAAAAAGCAGCCACTGCGGATAAGATAAAATCCAGCTTCTGATCGACAATTTTACGAGGAATTTGCAACTCCCATCTCAAGTTTGCCTCTTGACATAATTACACAGAGAAAAAAAGGCACGTAAGTCTTTTCGGAGTTACCCGATGAAGTTAAGATTTAAACTCGAGTGTTTTAACCAAAGAATCAAACAAGCTATTTATTACATGCTGAATATGAACACGCCGCACACTAGTTACACGTGGGCACGTCAGGAATGTGGAGGGGACGCAATACCGGGAGATCCTCGTTGGCCAAAGGTCGAACTTAAATACTCAACAATAGTAATAAACTCTGTAAATGAGACACGTTGCACAATTGGTCCGAGGGGGGGGAATTACTCCAAAAGAGGTTGGCAACAAAACAGGATGGGAGTTTGGCATGAGACACGGCCTCACTAAAATAGAAAAGCATAAACAACCTTGAATTAAAAAAAATCGTTGATTCTAATCGACCTAAGTCTCTTCCTGTTGAGAGCAAATTGGAATCCTGATCGAGTATCTTTACCCGGTCAGGTAGCAAAGGATGGGTAATTTGAAAATTACTTTGCTATAATGTGGATTAGGTTTACGCGTTAAGATTTGAGGGAGATTGGAGCAAGTTAAGTGATGGACATCAGCAGCACGAGAGACATGGAAACAACACATGCCACCAACACCGAGGTCGAGGTGCACGTGCAGCATCCTGATTGGACAGCCTCATTGGCACCTGCGACAACAAGATCCACCGACCAATCGATAATGACGTACAAGGTAGCGCAGGTTATTCGCGGTTTCAGATTCAACATTTTTGTAAATCTGTGCGTCGACACAGGTAGAACATGACAGTCAACCGCAAAAAAACTGATATGGCCTCACATGTTTTACTAAAGCTTCATACTTCTCGAAAATGGGCGCCAGTCAGTGTGTCAGAGAACAGAAAGTGGACGTTGATGAAAACTTTTTTTCGCACGCAGCAGACAACAAGCAACACGAAACGGGCAGCGATGTACCCTGCGGTGAATGCTAAAGTGTCGGTGAAATTCAGAAAATCAGTGACGAGGCAGAGAAATCTTGTGGCAGACCGAAGACCAATCAAATACAAGCAGCTGGAAATTTTTACAAAACAGCAAATTACGCACATTTCCGATGTCGACACAAACGCGGAACAAACGAAAAGGACGGAGGGTTGCAAGTTGGGATTGCACTAAACGCAGCACCTCTTGTCAAGACAGAGAAATGGAAGCACGAAGCGTTTTATGCGTAGGAAATAAAATCAATGCAATGTTGAGATTTTACCGAGTGAACGCGCAGCGATGTACTGATACATGAAGCGTCGATTTGTACCCGATATCTGATATTCCCTAAATCAAATTTCCTCTACAAATTCATTTATTAACAAGTGACATCTACGATTAATTAGAACTGACACCAAAGAGTGTGATACGGAGAAATAATTCAATAAATTTTGGCCAAGATTTGCACAACCAAACACCGTGCACACCTATCATGGGGCTAAAAATTGCATCGAGAACACCCAAGTGATGTAATTTAAACGGAAATATCTTCAATAATAGAAAGAAATAAACACAAAAACAAAATACAAAAACGAGCTTGGCGAACCGTTTAGCGCCGATTACAAGGACTGAAAAGAGAAGAATGGTGAACTTAAGAATCCGAAAAATCTGCTACCCCATTCACTAGTGCAGTAATTGCTTCGCTTGCTGTTTCCACGTTTATATTATTGCAAAAGGTGAAGAGAATATGAGATAAAGCTCATGATCATCCGTCATCCTTATTATTCAAGAAAATATCCTACTAGTGGGAGACTTCAACTGAGGGGAAGTGGGGCTTTTCAGCAAGAAGGTTAGTGTGTTTGAGGCGAAACACTGAGCTCGTCATTACTACCAACACCGCATCCAACTCACCTGTTGCTGCATCGGCCGCTTTGACTGGACGCAGGAATTCATGTGGGCAGGCCAGTGCATCTGCTGACACGTAGTATTGCAATAAGACGTATTCCAGCAGCAATAAAAGAACGCCTCATTCCCACAGTATGTACACTAAAAAGCGTGCGAGACAGAGATTAGGGCTTTTTGAAGTGACTTTCATCAGTATTTCCAGGGTATTTTTGTGGGCAAGCAAGAGGCTTCTCGGTTTGTGGGCTTTCTGTCGTGCTGGACTGAGAGACTCGGTCTATACCTCTTCAGTAACACAAGCAAAACTCTCCGAATTTCTTTTCTGAGTGCTCAAATGTTAAAGCCACATGGAACCACGAATGCTGAGGACCTCAATTAAACATGGCATTGACGCAGCGGTCCAACGCAGGAAACGCGGGCAAAACTCCATCAGAGAGGAAGGTTATTACAAGTAGACAGACTTGGGGAAAGAGACCGACGTTCACTTGAACGGGGAGCCACACCAATTCAGACCCCCCGCGTTATCCACCAATGAAGCCAACTAACACATTCACACGGCTTACCCATTGCTTCTGCTTCACCTGGTCAATTATTCGCATGGCTTCTTGTTCGCAGACTTTAGCCACGGCCTCCACAACCGCCGTCAATTCCGCCTCCCACACAGAGCGCAGTTCGACAAGGTGGGCTCGCTGGCTGTTTGAGATTTCGTAGCGCGAGTAGTCCAGCAGGAGTCGAAGGCGCTCCAGCTCCTGGTTCTGCCGAAGGATTTCTGACTTAAGCAGCACTGTCTTCGTTTTCTCGGACAGGGATGGAATTGAGGTAGCGGTTGTCGTCGGCTGGAGGGAGGTGGTCGTCTGCGTGTGCTTTTCTTCTTTTATGTCAGAGAAAAAAAAACGAAACATTAGTTGTCAGACTACTGACTATCAGGTAGTACGAAGGGATTGCCTTAGTTTCAAGGAACATCAGACGCAGCCGTTGTGAGCTAATTGCCAACACGTCATGTTGTCTTTGAACGTATTTTCCAACCGTAAAATGATACAACAATGGATTCGAAGCAATTAGATACGAACAAAATAATAACATAAAATCTGAGATGTGCAGCTGGACTGTTGCGACACTCTGGAGACGACGAAATTTTGCGAAACAACAGACCGCAGTATCAACTAGAAGCATCAAACAAGGCGCACACATATACATAGGAGGGCCTGTTTGGAGTCCGCTAAGAGTGAAGCATGCGTGGTCAAAGAGGGCGGTTCGAAGCTAGCCAGAACTCACGGACACTGACGGCCACCTTGGGGTTGGGTGCAGCAGGAGCCTGGGACTGGCAAACGACCCCTTCCAACTTCTCGAAGACCCCCTCAAGCAGGGACCGGAAGCCCTCGCAAAGCGTCGTTCGAGCATTCAGCAGACCGGCTGAGAGGTCGGCCTGCACGTCTGGCCCCGAAGAAGGCGGCCTCACGGCGGAGGCGGCGGCGGCTGGGGGAGGCGCAGTTTGGGTGGGGGTTCTTGATTAAGGAAAGGGGACAGCATGGATGTGGGTATTGGATTTTCAATAGCTGCGTGGACAATAGTTCAGAAACGAAAATCTGGACAGGCCGGTAAAGAGAGGGACTCGCAATTCGCGCCGAGCACTACTCTCACGCGTCGAACGAGACGCCAACAAGTACAGGTCATGCTTTTTTTTCATAGTGAAGTTTGGAGCCGATGTCGACTAGCGTTACGAGTGATTTGGACGATATGGCGATAAGAGAAACTTAACTCTCGAGTGTGCCAAGACCGAAAACAGGCTTTTAGACTACTGGAGAACGTTTCGTTCAATGTACCGGAGAAGTTGTAACAAGTCGTGAAGGGCCGATGTTGTGTTTTGTGTTCGAAAGTGAACTTGTTCGACAGTGATACTGGGCACGGAAATGACATAACCAACTGCCGGAACAACACCTCAACATTACCTCCTGACGGTGCTGTGAAGAGTACGCGTTAGGGAAATGAGATCAAAACGATAAAGTTTTCCTACCAAGTACAAAAAAAAACTACGAACCAATGGTCTTTTTGGTACTAGTGCACAAGAAATAAAATTTAAAACATGCATTCGGCCATAAGGTGTCACGCCAGATAGTAGTAGCGGAATAAAGCCCTGCCAGACAGATGGGCGTTGCGTAGAAGTAAGTCTAATTACGCAAAGCTATAGAATGCAGCCTACCGTATTTTGTCTATTTTTCCAGACACCAGTTAATAAGTCCTAAACACCTTAGTTACGCTCAAAACATGAGTGTATTGTATCGTGCCTTGTTTTCGAATAAAAATCTAGCTGTTGACCACGCAAAAACTATTTAAAAAAAAAACAAGAAAGGTTCATAGAATGGCACTTACAATTGAGGAAGAGCGTGAATGTCGGTGGGGGCGGCAGCTCCATCACAATGATCGACCGAGCTAATAGTATGGGGAAATAATTAAATTAGCGTTACCTAGAGAGAGAGTATAAACTTCTGCCTTAGAGGAAACAATCTCTTTTGTCTATTCATAACGTAAGGGGGGGGGGGAAAGGGAGCTCTGTAACTGGGGCATCTCCCAGATCGGACTACCGTTTCTCCATTTCGTTGTCACCGATCTCCATGGAGCAGGGATTGTGATAAACAGGATAGGCCACTCCAGCGCATCAGGTGATGGTGCTAGCGGAGTCCAATATGCCGCTATTTTAACCCGGCTCGCTCCAGAAAAGCTACGCCAGTTAAAAGATAGGGCTACAAGTCGGATATTTTTGGAAAGCAGCCAGATTGTGATTATTGACCTTAGAAAATTCCACCAAAATGCCCCCATGCAGCGGCACGTTGCGCTTTTAAAGGCACAGAGGGCAATAACTTCAGCAAGTTACTATTGAAATTATTCGTGCCTAAGTTTACCCTGCAGTATAATGTAACAAAGTGGGCGACGCATGTGTTAAGAAAACAATGTTCTGCGAAGTATCCACTGTTTCCTAATGCCTAAGATAGTGTACTACTGAGAAACGGGTATTCACATGCACTGAACGCCCCTGTACTGGAACATGTTTGAGGTATACCAAATTATAATGGCTAAAGTAGCCGTAAACCCCTCCGTGAGCAGGTCGAAGGACTTCGTAAGGATCTCCGTCGTGATCGCCTTGTTTACCCGAAACACACACCAGCAGCGGCAAGCAAACGCTGCACAGCACACTTCCACAAAATAAAATAAAAATGTCCCTGCCTTTCTTCGCGTTCCTCGGGGGCGGTCTGCAGCGGAGGTGGGGGGTCGGGTTGGGATGCTGTTGGCGGGGCCGTCGCCGGTGTCCTCTGAGAAGACAGCTCGTGGAAGCCACTGGCGTCGCGATGTTGCGAAACGCTAGCCAGACGCACCAACAGTGGCTCTATGAAGCTGGCCGAGTTCAGAGCGCCCCGAGGTGGGGGTGTTTTGGGGGGCGGTGCAGGTGGTGGTGTGGGAGGGGGCTGGTGTGGAGGTGACACGCCCCCACCAGGGGAAGCAGTGGACTCAGCGTCATCATTGTTTGCCTCGAGTGGGGGATCATCTTGGTGGGGATTCGGTGAGTGAGCATTCAATTGAGGAAGCCATCGATTGAATGGCCTATGGTATGGCAAGGATCAGGGGATGAATGGATACTGACAAATATAATAATACACAAGAGTGAGTGGAAATGCGGTCGTGGCTTAGGAATCCTTCAGAGCTCGTTCAATTGCAGTGGTACACGTTGACACCAAGCGTGACACTTCCGGATTGAAGTGGATCTTTGAGAATTGTGCGGGAACCCAGGAGCTACGAAACTCGTCAGACAAGCCATAAAAAATCGAAAATCCCCAATAAACTCACGTTAGACAGTCACAAGATTACTTTTTTTTACCAAAAGGAAGTCCAAGAGAATCATTACTAGTGCGAAGGTAGAACTATAGGTGGTTAAACAGAGACGCAATTTTGGGGAAAATGGACTAAACCGTCCGACAGAAGACGCTTGGGATGAATTTACTTCCTCAGGATTTCACAGCAAACGCTGTCAACGGTTTAGTACTGGAGGTGGGAGAGGGGGTGGCAGAACAACCCTGACTAATGGTCTGGACAATTGACCATAAAGAGTACGTTGATAACAAAACAGCCAACAATAAAGTCGTTGAGGGAGTAAGGCATGAATGCAGCAGGAGTCAAATTTAAATGGATGTTTGTAGACGGAAATACCATATGTAATTTAGACCAATGTAGTCTGACGCTTCTTAGGACTGTGGGTCTTGATGATTACGGACCACAATCGACTAGTCACTGACAGTACATTCTTCTTAAATACAAACAACAAATAGGCTTCATCGAGAAAGCGGAACGAAGAAATCCCACTTACCCATAGCAATGCCTGAGGGTCTGAGTGGTGAAGGGAAGAACACCGTTTAGGGGAGGAGACGGTAGCCGGAAATTGGGGTGCGCCTCTAGGATCAGGGCCACATGTCGCCGCAGCTCCCCAAGCGCTCGATCGAGGGTCTTGGCATCCCTCGACTCGACGAAATCAGTCGACGGCTTGAGGCCACTGCATCCGGCGGCTGCAACAGCAACGTTCGCAGCCACGCCCAAGCGCGTGTGGAATGTCACGAAGTTGGACGGAGTGGTTCGGGAGGAGTAGTCGCCGAAAAATGCCACAACCACCAGGCCATTCGACATGTCCATCATCTTGCCTGGCCACTGCTGACCATCGTCGAAGCGCACCCACACAAGGGGGTGAACCACAGGCTGAAAAAGCAGCACGTTTACTCCCAAAAAGGCTGACACACTCAGTGACGCTATTCTTTGGAGTAAATATTTTTTTACAACTTTCACGGATTGATACAAACGTCAAAAACAACGCCAACCACAGTTGTTTTCGACACATTGCCCCTAGCTGCCTGCGAGCATGAGTAATCGTTGTCTGGGTGGGGGTGAGTAAAACAGTCAACCTGATGACCGCACGCGCGGCCACCACAATGGGAAACAAATCGCAAGGCTACGTCCCAGCGCTGCGCACTTGAGGAACGCACCAGCCAACGGTGGATACTTACGTGGGGAATAAGCACACTTGACAAATTCAACGTCACGGGCTGTTCCATTTATCGTGCTATTTTAGTAAAACCCTTTGTTCTACTATACTGATTTTGTTGGAGTTTTATTTAAAAAAAGTCGTCAATAGCGCTAAGCGACTGTACGCGTTGTACATAATTTACCGTTTAACATTTACGGTCTGCTCTACTTCCTGTCGGAATATTTATTGCTTGGGATAACCGATATTAAAATCTACCGTAACGGATTGCTTTTACTGTTTTTTTTTTCAATTTCGGCGCGTACACTCACTCTTGCTTATGCTCGTGTCATTTACACGGGCTTTAAGTGGATCGCGAGCTAGTGGCCAGCACGAATCCTTTGTGGATGGCGACACGTAAATAACAAGCAATAACCGAGCCAAAAGAATCCTATGTCCGGCAGCAATACTGAATGAAAAGAAATCGAAGCGGGCACTAGACAAGACTAATGACGGATGTCTTACACAAGGCTTTATGAACCACAACCCCTCGGCTAGATTGACGCTCAAGTCGGTTGGTCGCTTTCTCAACTCGGGACGCCTATAAATGCGGGGCTCGCATTTGGAGATGGCAGGGAAGACGAAGGTGGTTGACGGAAGAACGGGAAGGGCCACTGTTCGATTGAGATAGCAGGTGGGACAGGCCCGCAGAAGGCTAACCTCAAGGAGACACGTCTGTTCAAGGGAGCGGACTTTGGCCAGCAGGGGCGAGTCTAGGCAAACACCAAATGCCCTGTTTATGCCACATTAAAATATCAGGCGAAATAAATGATCGAGGAAGTATCGCTACACAGAAGTGTTAAAACAGTCTTCGAATTCCATTTGTTAGTAAGCACAAAGGCATCACTCGAAGCCAAGTCCAAGTAACAGATTATCAGTCAAGTTCCCAAGAAAAACTCCGTCAAAAACCACCTGAAAATAATCACGACACGCCGCTAACCGTATGCTCAAAGACAAAATCAGACCATTTAGCCGTAATCTCTGCGAAGACACAAAAAGGGTGGTGGTGGTGGTGGGGGGGAGGGAGGGATAAGCGCGTAACTCACCGGACTTGTTCTCGAGGATGAAGCAATTGTGAATGATCCACCGGAAATCCGCCAAAAATGCATGTGTTGACTTATACCGGCCCTCGTTTACTCGCTAGAAGCAAAATGACATCCGTGAAGTTACACCAAAGGTGAACCTAAGTAGGCTTACAGGCTGGACGAATATGCGCTTATCCCCATTCAGCTTAACTAAAACGATTGAAACAGGGCGCACACTACATTACACCGAATTCTCCGCCAAACAAAACGATTGTGACATAAGTGGTAAAATCACTAACAGATGACACTTTTCAGAAAGCACAAACTTTGAGCTAGCATTCAAATACCTCGGCAAAGATGAGCACATTCACTGGTAATGGTAAAGGCCAGTTTTGACCGGCTACAAGAAACAGCACGCTTCTTCTGTAGTATACAGCACCAAAAATGTGATTTTTGGTACCCGAGAAGGCGTTCCCGTTGACCGGCTACGCAGTAGAGAAGTACGCGCGCACTAATTTAGCATGCAAAACTGCGTCTTGTACTTCAGCAGTTAAATTCACGCAAGCATTATTGGTCGAGCACTCACACGAACATGATTCTAACAGCCTACGCAAAATTTCCATTCAATATGACGGGGTAACTAGTTGGATTATGCGTTTCATTTGATCAAGATCTGTAAAACTAGGGGAATTTAAAAGCGGACCAAAGTCCCGTTGCTATCTTCGTCAAAACGTGGGCGAGGGGACATTACTTGCAAAAAAATAAGTATGTTCTGAAAAAGCCACTTGCAGCCTCCGTAAGCTGTAATGTGTGACGTCAACCGCTTGGAATCTACAGTGTGTGGTGGCATCTATGACTTCAATCTTGTAGAGCGATGTGATTTAATAATTTTAATTAAACTCTTTTCTTACTAATTTCAGTGGCTGTGGAAACACGGACAAGGGATCTAAAATTAGAGCCTGGTGAATGCGACAGAACAGCTGTTGGCAAGACTGGATAAATTACAACTTACTCCAAGAAGAGTTCGAAGATCCATTGGGTACCTAATAACATCCGTGACGTTGAGGCTGTCGTCATCGTCCACAGGCTCTCTGAATGGCTCCGCCTACAAAAAAACCGTTTCGGTGCACTCCTGTTAATTTACTTTGCGCAAAACCGGTGAAATTGAAGAATTAGTCAATTATAGGAATAACTTCAAGAACGTACTCCCTTCACTTTGAACTTTTTCTACGCTATTTCCGTCATTGAAGTAACAAAACTCTGTCTGAGTTTTGATTAAGGTTATTAAAATTTGAATTACAAGTGCGTAATAAAGAGCAAACAAAGTAATAATGAAATCAGGCTTGTAAAATACGAGCGGAGCGTGGTAGTGTGGGCCCGTGCACAATACCCGAAGGACACGGCGCCCCCTGTAAACAACAATCTCGATGGAGGGGTTTTTCCTCCGGTAGACTCCACCATCAAATGTCGCCTACCTACGCGTTATGTAAAAGTGTTTCTGCCAATAAGTCGTTGACTAAACACGACCCAGTTGAAAAATGGTACGTTGATAACTTACATAACTTGAAACCACGTGTTGAGAGGCGTTATATTGTATTGAAATAAAAATTTCACCAGTATTTTCACGAAACCTCGCGACGTGGCTAAACCGAGCACTAACAAAGGTATGAGAAGTATTATGAAATTTTGTTTTTTTACATGAGGCATCAGAGGGGAGAGGGCGAGAGAAGACCAGGGTGACATTGAACCAACATTTACCGTAGACGTGTTCGTGAACAAGTAAACAAATCACGGGAGTGAATCAGGGTTCGAACACGAAAGTAGAGGAATATGTAAACATTAGGCGAGGTCATGCGCAAACAGTGGGAGGTGTGGATAACTCGAAATAACTACTATGCTTTGTAAATTCCTCACCCAAAAAGAACTGTGGTTAATAGGGGCTAGTGCTCGATGATTAGACGGAGCGTGTTCGACTCAACCTGTGAATCCCTCATTTTATTTAGCAAAACTCAAACAGGGATGTCGAAATCAACTATACTGTGACGTGCTGGTGTTGATTCTATGGAGGGAAATTTATCGAAGAACTTGCGAATCGCCCAGCTTCACAGCACTTCATTGCTATGCGCACTATAAGGATTTGCTACACCTACGGTTGGCTTGATTGCCAAGTTTATGCGCTCACAACCAGAAAAGGAGGTAGGGGCGGTGCTAAGTGGAACCACGCTCAATTTTCTCCATACTTGATATTTCGACTGTTAAATTAACACCGAAAGACAAAACTACTGGCTACCACTGCAGTGGAATTTACACTGCTGGCTAAGATGGTTAGTTATAAATGTCTAAAAACACCACCACTTTAGCTTGACTGTGTGGATGGTTAGAGCGATGTCTCTGAATTCTAGGAGCGTTGTAGTTAAAACAAACTGCGCTTACCCAGCTCTGCATGGACAGCATATCGACCATGAAAGCCAGCGCCTTCTGCAGTTGAGCCTCGTAGGTTGCTGTTGAGGTCAGCGGAAGCCATTTCTCCGCCACACACGCATCGGAAGCGGCCGAGTCTAACTCACAGCACACGGGGCACCTCCAGTCACGACGTGACATGGCCTCACTGGCTTTGTCCGCATCGGAGGATCCGACGCAACGAGGATGGTAAACACGGGGACATTTGGAGCATGGCTTCACCTATCAAGAAATCACAATACCAATAGTTGAGCAGTTGTAGGAGGGACGACTTGGGTATAGTTGCTAGAGGCTTGCGGTCCAAACGTCCTTGGGCCAAAGCAACCACAAATGTGCCTTTTGTGACCTAGACTGAGCTTTAAGAAATGTGGAATAAGGTAGGGAACCACGAAGAAAATGTAACTCAACAATCACTAAAGAGATTGCATTCAATTCAAACAACTTAAAAACCTCGCTTATTGGAATTCTGAAAGTACGAGGAAATCGAAAACACTGAGACAAGAAAGAACAATCACAGCATGGTAAGAGGGATCTTATTCAGTGTGTTCTTAACTTGAAGACTTGTTCTAAAGCAAGGCTGTCCACATAGCCTACAAACTACACTTCTGCATTAGTCCATTTGGAGGGCGCAAATCGAGGAGCTATGGCGCCTGCAACACGCAGCCGCACATGGTAAAACCAATCGTATTTTAACGAAGAAAAAAAAAACAAATTACCTGTCCAGGACAATGACAAAACCAGCAATAGTTGTCGACAGCGTCCACTGAGGAATCTGAGGGACGCCTCACTTTAATCGCTGGTGCATCTCCAGTGCTCAAAGAAGTGGATTCTCGCCTCGAGGATAGCCAATCTGTCTGAGCTGGCTGGGAGATGAGGGACATTTGGAGACCGCGATTAAACTGAATAACAACAGGCGCCACCTTCCGGGTGTTGGTTAGGTTGCACTGCCGACGAGGTCGGCCACGCCGCTTTGACGGGGATGTGAGGGCCGGCGTCGCGTCCGAGCGCCGCCTCGACGCGCTGACCGGAGTCGACGAAGTGGTGGGGACTGTGTCAAACGAAAAAACGCTCTCGCTGTCTTCATCACTTCCGCCCATTGAATCAAGATGCAACGGATAGGAAGATGGGGAATTAAACGACCTGCTTCTGCTGGACGATGCTTGGCCACGCTTTGAACGCTCTGCGTCAGGAGCGGTAGCGGTACCTGACTGGGCTTCGGTACCTAGTTAGAACACGACAAGACGCTCTCATCCACCTTACCGCCAAGTCATTGTTTAACAAAAAATAGGTGCTAACGTGAAACACTGGTAGTTAGTCGGAAATCGCTGCTAAAAAGCTACTCACAATAGATATGCTAGTTTCTGAATCAGGCAGTAGTTAGCACAGCAGTGACACCTTTACATCTATGCACACACAAATACACATGCACATATCACACATAGCAAGAGAATAGATATGCATTTCCACCTCGACTTGCCGTCCATTTCACTTGGTGTAGAGAGCTTTAGCGATGACTAGGATCGTAATGCAGCTGTCACTGCACAGAACACATGAGCTTATTGCAGCGGTAACAAGTTATCAGTTAAAAAAAAACACACATTGACGACCTCTAGGAAAGCAAACTAAAATTGCATGGAACCCACTGACAGATATGCGCACAAACACCCCAAAGCAGTGAGTGGTAACTGTCAAAACAAAAACATTGTGAAAGAGCTCAAATAGGTAGAAGAATTAAGCACACCAAACAGGCTAATTTTTGATTGTAGTGACAACTCAAGGTAAAAATACCTAATCTTCTGGATGAACCACTTTGTGGATACCACAAAGCAAGCACTCACCAAATGAAGGTGCCTCGGCTTCTGGGGAATTGACATCGTATAACCGTAGCTAAAATAGAGGATAAAATGTTTGATGTTTATAGGGAGAATGGGGCAGATAGTTGATTGTACCAAACTACAACTACTTCCGAAAATAATCCACGCAAAACAATCGAGAATGATATTCCAACTATCTTGGTAATACAGGAATCAGAATAGGTATAAAGTAATTCTGACTGTGTAAATATTCGGCCTAAGGTTTAACCCAATTCGTCCCACACCATAATACCAATTGGGACACGTTAGCTCATAAAATGGATCCTATTGGCAAGCAAGCAAACTCCAACTCCATTCGACCGACGTGCTTGGTTAGTAAAATTCCAGTAACACGATGCAAAGTCATTGCAAATAACTGAGGAGCGATGGGCTTTCTTCGCGTCAAAACAATTTAAAAACAGTTCAAGGATAACCGAAATGTGTAGACGTACATTGTTCATAAATTTCGTCCAGTGCCCACGTTTACAGATATCAAAAAATGGACTTAATATTTAAAACAAACTCATAACAGGTCCTTAGGCCTTAACAACAACGGTAAACTAGTTAGCAGAAACCAATGACGTGCACACAAACAAAACAGCCAATGTTAGGCGTCTTTTGGACCAGCTCATGTGTGTGCAACCGCGTTAACGCTTGCCATCAGCAGTTTCAGGAAACAACACGCTTTATCAATTAAAAATTCCAATGCCCGCGCACCTCTGGAGCGTACACTGCGTCCACAAGCTAGTACTGAGAGAACTTCCTACGCGTTCATCAACCAAATTAGCACATACAAAAACGACCCAAATAATTCAACCTCCATTTCGTGGTGCTTGTTTAGGCGAGCCACCAACAGAGGCAATGGCTGGTGAGCAACTGCAGGTGACAGCGCAACAGATCAATCACCACCTTACCTTTTGTGGTATCTTGTTACGCAACAGGCTATTACTTTTGTGACGACTTTTCCTTTAAGTCCATTTCAAGGCCACTTAGATTCCATCGTAAGTGAGTGCTTACACGGGGTCACTATTTGCTAACACCTCAATTGAGTACAGAGTTTGTACATATTCAATGCACTAAGGACCTTACAAGACGAAGGAAACGCCATCCAGTAACTTTCTTGGTATTCAAATAAGTGAAGCGCATTGAATGGCATAAGCTACGACAAGAGGCCCACAATTATGTCTAGTTTTATCGACAGAATCTAGGAGCCTTCAATTAACAGAAATAGTGAATTTACTATAACTGTATTTCCTTACAGACAAACGTTGCCACCTCCGTGTCTAGATTGAAAAAGTAATTTTTAAATGCATACACTTTAGCCTACAAGATATTGTGGGTGTAAAATAACACAACTAACGTAAGTGATTATTAGGGATTTTGACTTCAGCTTCAGATTTAGTTGGGTGAAGGTATAACCTAGAAGCCGCACTGATTAGCAAGAGCTGACAATCTCCACCTAAATGTGTGGTAGTCAATTTGCTACTGCAAAGACAACTACTCGAAAATGTGTATACAGAAGTCAACACACCCTCGAAAATTTTCCGCGCTTCCGTCGAGAAGCGGATGTGTCGGAAAGATCGGATGAGTTGGACTTTGACGTGTGGCTGGGAGTACGCAGCACTGTCGATGTTGCATGCTTTTCAAGCCTTCCAGATGCTAAAATAGCAATAAAATGGGCAACATTTATTTTATGGAGCATCAATTTAAACCTAAAATTTACATGATGAATAATTAAGTCAAAAATAGGTACTTTAAACATTCCATTCACGCACAAATTCTAAGTTAGAACGACACGTGAACAAACAGGCAACGTCAAGCGTCTGGTGTAAACAGCAGCTCAGTGATTTTAACATGTCATGTTGTTCCCGTATAACACTTTGTTTTTGCTGGTTTTGTTGAAACATCTTTAAGATGTCCAAAAGTGATATGGACTATTCGTTGTACGCATTAGTTGTTTAACATTTACTGAGTACCGTATTTATTGTTGAGGATAACCGCAAGATAAATTCACTTTACCGAATTGTTTTCGCTGTTCTTCAATTCCAGTGAATATATCCACTATTGCTTATAATGGTGTAATTTAGTGATTATTATGATGGTAATAGATACAAAAACAATACAACTGGTGAAAAATTCGCCTGTAGATTGAGTGTAATTCTATTAAGATACACAAAATAACTATCGAAAAGTCTTGAAAAGATGTCCTTTTCTAGGAGTCCTAACAGAAAATAAACACTTAGTGAATAAAAAAATTTGTAGTACACGTAGTTTACGGCACGGAAAACTGGACTTATTTCCTGAATTCAGTCAATTTGAATCCGTAACATACAAATGAGTAAATACCTCGTTTACGTGCACTACCCGGAGTCTTTTCTGCGACAGAACGAGTTTTGGACGTTGAGGATTCCAGAAAAGAGCCACTATCCGGTGGAAAATTACAATCGATTACCAAACGACCGTCTAGAAAAAAAAGCAATTTCATGTGAATTCTCATGATTCGCTTCATGCCAAAAACGTACTCACCAAAAGCAATATATAAGAGCACGTCAATTATGCCCATTTACCGTAGACGATAAATATTGATAACAAAAGCGAGCGGGGAACGTGGCAAGAAATGACCAATTGAACACTAATACACACCAATCGAACGGTATTGCATAAGACGGTTCCAACAAATACCTGAAAAACTGTCATCATCCGAGGTCTGAGACCGCAGTTTCCGCTTCATCGAAGTGCCTTAAGTAGTGGACAGTATAGTTCTAAAGGAATAATGCGGAGACATCACGATTGGTTGCAACTATCAAGCAATACAAAAAAAATCTCAAGGCTTAAACTGCTATAAGGTAACAGAATGCAGTTCGCATTTGAAACATCGGTGATAAAACGCGATCAAGACTAGAAAATGTAAGGTTTAGCAAAGTACGGGAGTTAGACTGAATGAGGTCCAAATTGTCCATTGTAAAATATATAATACCGGGTGGATATCACAAACAAACACAAAATTAAATCTTTACATTAAACAAAGGCAACATAGTGGCAGAATTATAATTTGGAAATACAAATCCCAGATTTACTCGTGAAATTGTGGACAAAATATGGGCTCATCATTAAATTCACAGACCTAAAATTTGTAATGCGGCTTCTCCGATAACACCTACAACGTTGCATTATGGTGCGCATATGTATCAGTAAGAACAATTAAATGATTCACTTATTAATCAACAGAAAGATAAGCTTGCCGAATGGACAGGCCAATATATTCACGCTTGTGTAGTTTGGTGTGGTGTGGCGTCGGATTAGGGCGCAGACATGTTGGACCACCTGGCCTCAGCCAATCCCGTGTCTCTCTGCGACCCAATGGCATGGGGGAAAGGAAGGCAGCCAACCAGAGAAGGACATGGATGAGATGCAGTATATAATGAGCGGCGTGGCCA